GTATTGGCATCTTATGACACAGATAGTACAGTGTTTGATACTTGATTTTTGTACTTATCTGAGAAAATCTTTATGCTAATGCTTTAATACTGTCTTGCCTCTTTAATTGCTGTGCAGTATTCCAAAGTACAGATGAATTCTCGTTTAACTATTTCCCTTTTGAAGAACATTTGATTTCCAATTTTGCATGACAAATACTACAAAGACAATCCATGTGTATGACATTACAGTTAATCTCGAAGATACATAAAATAGAATCTTCTCTTTTGAAATAAAAAGCCTATTTTAAAACTTTATTTTAAAGATTTCACTAAATTGATCCTCACACTTCTTCCCATCTGTGCACTGGTGGCACATTCCCATTTTTTACAAACACAAGGGTAAAACAATGATCTCCTTTTAATCTGCATTTGCAGTTTGTATTGACAATTAACTTCTTTCCTTTTTGTATCATTTGCTACTTTTGCTAACACATTGCCAAATCATATTGATATGTATGAATTCTGAATATAGTTCTAGAATTTTCCTAATAATTGTTCCTTTTGTTTTACTGTTGAAAATGTTCTTTATTACAGATAACATTTATCCACTTATACTCTATTATTCAAAATAGATTTTTAACTCTGAATATTTTTCATGAATATTTAGTTCTAAGACTTATTTTATAGCAAACACACTGTGATTGCAGGTGGCCTACACAATGACCTGCATAGGCTATAAAAGGATATTAACATAACACATGTAGAAAAACCTTAAGGTGTATCCAAATTTCAACTACAGTTACATCAAAATATACAAGGGAAGATTATTCCAAGTGACTGGAATAACCAAGCTCCCTGTGGCTTCTAACTACTGACCTTGCACTGAGCTGTCCCATGGGTGACCAGTAGGCCCGAGGCTCCTTTATGTCTCCATCAAGGATTAATTCTGTTCCTCCCCAACCCCTAAGACTATAGAACCAGAATGTTAACTGACCATTTAGACATGCTAAACCATGGGGGCTAGCGCTGCAAGTCACAGCTGTGGATACTTTTTGCTTTCAAACCCATTCTAATAAATTCTCACTGTATAAAATCAGCAAATTATTAGGAACTTGCTGATAAAGCTTATTAAACTCTTCCATCATTCATTAGGCAAAGCACAGAAAAGGGACCTGTTTCTCCTGACTATTTTGTCATTTCACAACAATGAAAGGGAAATGCTAGTGCTCACACAGAATGCTTCTTAGGGTATGTCACCTGAAAAAACGTCTTAAGATGTTTCATCAGCATTTCTCTATTCATCCGCAACACGTGTGTCAAGAAGGCTATCTTTCCACAGATTTATTCAAGATCTTAAAGTACTGTATATACTTGAGTACAAGCCGACCCGCACATCAGCCAAGGCACCTAATTTTAACGCAAAAACTGCATTAAAAGTGTGCTGAAAAACTCAGCTTATGCACGTGTATGTATGATAACTATACTAACCCTTGTTTCACCTAACACCAGAATTGTTCTCTGAAAACCCAACAGCTCACCGGCTCCTCCCCATTTCTGCCCTGTAGGCAACACTTTTCTTCTGAGGACAGACACACCGGAATGAACGGAACCGACATGAATCGACAACTTGATTCTATTAAATGTACAACACAGAGCCTTATTTTCCCTCAAAGCACATAGAAAAACAACAGCAAATAGCTAAGGTAAATCCTTAAATCCTTCCCCAATCCAACACACTCACCACCATTCTTTCAGTTAATTATCCATCCACAAGTACTTATTGTCTGTTAGAGATCAGCAGTTAGAGATACAGCAGTGGAATGCGGATAGACAGATGCTGTTTTTTTAAATCATTTAACATCAGTCTGCCCTTGATACAGGTTAGTTATATTACCACATAGCACTAATATGAACATGATTTGAATGGTTGACCCTTAATGTCATTTACTTAACTGTAAAGAAGTCACAAAAGACAAAACACTATCTTGATGAGAAAGGTAATTGAAATAGCATGGAAGCCATCTTTTGAAAAAAACAAAAAACAAAACTCAAATTAATTGAAATAAACTAGAGAATTGTTTGCAATATATTTATTGATATGAACTATCTTCAATTCACATGCAAGAAATACAAAGTTAGCATGCTTTTTTCCAATATAAACAGGCAGTTTTTAAGAGAATCAAGCACTTTGTAAGTTTAACACTATTACATATAAAATTGTGTGTGTATGCTTGATTACCCATTACAATTTGGAGAATTTAAGCTTGAATTGAGTAAGCAGGTGCATTGTTGTGGCAAGGAAAAAAAAAAAAAAATCAAGATAGCCACTGAGGACCTCTAAAAACCAGCCACCACAACACTCTGAGCTGACTACCCCCTTGTTGAGCTTTGAGGTCCTCCCCCAAACACTGGTTCTGTCTATAAAAATGTGTGTTTTTGTGTGGGCAGCATTCCCGTACACTTGCTGCAAAGATTCAGGAAGATGTTCGCTGGAGTTTTATTAAAGTTTGCCATTTAAAAAATAATTGGTACTATCCTCGACCTCAAAATTGTTTGGGGTTCTCCCTCAATCCCCACCCATGCCAAAGTACTTGTCTGTAGAAGCCATAACACTGATTGCAGAGCTATGTTTCAACGTGTTTTGTTTGAGCTAAATCTGTGCATGTGTGAACTGAAAATCTAGCAGTGGTACTTTATTTACCCACATGCATTCTAAGAACCCTAACAAGTTTGTAGCAGGTGAATTATAGAAGGTGAAAGAGTGGAGTGATTAGAAATCAAGCTAATAAAACAATATACCTACACTGTCAAGTACAAGTGTTTCCTAGGGCCTTAAAAAGTACAAATTTCATTTCTTGATAATGGGGAACTATTTAAAGTTTTCAAAGAAAGTGTTACAATTCATTCTAAATTTTATAATGAACCATAGACAGACTGGGGTTAAGGAAGGGCAATAGGTTATTTCAAAAGAGATGATCTTAGAATTGCCCTGAAGACACTGAGTTCGGTTGAAGCAGAAAGGATATAAACACAAACAATAAAGAGCCCAAGATTTGTAGGGGGTAGGCTGGAGAAGAAGGTTGATGGCCAAGACTGTTGAAGAATGAAAAAAAGCTGATTAGATTTTTAAGATGAAAGAACAATGGTTGAGCGGAGAGTGCTGCCATTACTAGAAACTTAAGGAGGACACACTTATTTAAAGACACAGTAAATACAAAGTTCATGAAAAGTAACTACAAGGATGGATGGATTGTGATGAGAATTGTACAAGCCCCCAATAAAATAATAATAATAAAAAAAAGTAACTACAAGGGCCTGAGCTAGACAAAGATTTGGGAGTTACTTATCCAGTCATGGTAACTGTTGACACTGGACTGACTGCCTGGGGACTTACTTTTCTAAGTAAGAAAACAAACTAAAAACAAAGGGTAAAAAAGGCCGGAGAGAGAAAATACTTAAGGCACAGGAATAAAGAAACTGAAGATGAATAATATCATAGTTAATGTGCTGCTACTAATCAAAAAGGCTTGGCAGTTGATATTCATGTGGAGGCAACTCTTTTCAAGAAGTGATTCACTTCCAGAAAAGCACCAAGACACTGAAATCCCTCAGGACCTTTTAAAGCAAACATGGTTGCCGTGAATCAGGTCAACTGCAAAAGAGTTTAGTAGAATAGAAACCAGGAAAGAATTTCATAAAAGAAAGGAAAAAATTATTTTTTTGGCAAAATAATGGCAAAATAAGGACTGTGGCACTAAAACAAGCAAGCAAACAAGACCGGGGTGGGGAGGTTAAAGCAAAATTTCCTCTGACCAAACATTCAAATAAAATTCTAAAATCTGAACCACCGCATCCGTTAAAAAGTAGTACAGTGTTATTTAAGTACTGTAATCACTGAGACTTCATCTCCAAAGATTTTTTTTTTTCGAAATTTAATTTTGCATTGAGGTAAATGTGATAGGAATGATACATAGATGTGAATTCTGGTACAAGCAATCTTTAAAGAACTACCAATTCAACTCTTTGATACATTATGCACTGTGATAAAAAGTATATGGCTTAGTTATATGTAAACAAAACTGCCACAGTACAAGGGAAATTCAGATCAGATGCATAAAAGGAGAGGCCGGCAGAAACAAAATAAATCCAATTATTTTTTACACCTCTATGAGTAAATTAAATCAATGTGAAATAGTGGGCCATTAAAGGTTTCAAGACTCAAGAATTATGAGGTCTGTGTAGCATCTCCTCAACCCCCGGGGCATTTAAAAGTTCCTCAGCACTTCCTTAAGGTCTTCATAGTCTACATGAGATAGCTGAACTGCTGCTTCAACTTCGTCACACATCACAGGAGGGCCGAGTTTGGGATTGTACGAAGCCTGTGCATTAATGCTTCATCTCATTATCTTGTTTGTACCGTGTCACTTCCCAAGTAGCAATTAAGTGTTACAATTTTTCTCTACTTTTTTGAACAAGGGCTATTAACACTGAGTTGATTAAGTACAATCTAGGTTTCAATATCTAACAGCTCCCCTTTCAAGCTTAAATTCTTATTCAGACAATAACATTCCTTAATCTTTTACTATATCTTAGTTTTCAAAGTCACAAGTTGAAACCAATAACTGCATGTCATGTAGAAATGACAGATTTTAAAGTGTCTATTCACTAGTGAAAATTTAAGACAATTTCTACACTAAGCCATCAAAACAATTAAAAGAACAGTAAATTATGCAAATACAAAAGGACAGTCACTTGACTTTGACAAGTTATTTAAACCACTGGTAACTGTTAGAAATTAAGCATTTGACTTCAATGTGTCAAAAGACAAAATAGTTCCAAGGCTCAATAATTATAAGTAAATGGAAAAGTTAAATATAGCTAACTTTAGGCCTAAAGATATACAGTAACATGCTAAAAGGCTTGCAAATTGTTATATTCCAAACTTATTTAAGCTAAAAATAATAATGTAATATAATCAGAAACTAGTTTAACGTGCAGCATCTAGTAATAATGGCATACCTTTTCTTTCTGTTTTCTGTGCAGGGACAGAAGATGTGGGTGTAGGCAGTTTTGATAAAGTAGATGCTCCATTAGCATCAAATGATTTCTTTGGCTGGTGATCAGACTGTAGCGTAAATGGACTAGAAGGAACAGTGCTTGGGGTAGCAGTTGGATGAACCACTGGTTTGATGGGGTGCTGTACTGGCGTAGAACTACTGTGAGTCTCTGCTCTTGGCAGTCTGTAGTCTCTGTCATTGTGTCTGCTTGTTTGAGACAAAATATTCTGTGGGAGCAAACTACTGGCATCACTGGAATGCTTGTCTTCCACTTTAGTTCACAGTTCGTAAAAAGAGATGTTGGAATGACGGAAGGGGGAAGAAAAAAGATTACGTTAGAATCCTGTCTGTAACAACAGCTAATGTAGCAACACACTTGTACTAAGATAGGTTTTTTTTATAAAACTGCAAGCCAAGTTAAGTGTCTGCAGTTTTACTATCATTTATAAATAATCAAATACTAGTTTTCACTCAATTATAGATATTAAAATATATCCAGATTTCACAGAGCTCGAAGATGGGCCACTCATTTTTTGGATTCTTGAAAATCACACCACAGCTCAAACAAAAATTTACGTTAATATTTGGAATTACATTTTATTCAAATTAGATTAGTTAGAAACATTTTAAAAACAGAAAAAGCAACTGATCCAGACTTTTAAATCTGAATCATAGGTTCTAATAAATTAGTGAATTACCCACGGTGGTTCAATTGCAAAGGAATATTAGCTACATTAAGCCTGACCCCCCCCACCCCACAGGATACTAGGCTGCTAATCGATGGAATCGAGAGTGATTTGTGCTAAGAACTAAAGGATCTCATTTGAGGAGGGTTGAATACTTTTTAAACAAAAAGACCTGTTTTACTTTTCAATTCGTATTTCCTAATAATACAATAATGTTTTGTAATGACAATATTGTTAGGGGAAAAAAAATCTGTTTGCTAGCATCAGTTATATTAAAAGCAGATCCTCTTCCAAATTAAAACCACATAAATATTTTAAGATCAGAGGTACTGAAAACAGCTTAAGCACTATGCTTCTGAAAGAGTACAAAGAAAGAAAATGTCAATTACACATGAACAAAATAATTACTTATCAAAAATCTCTTGCCTAAACCAAATAGTTCCATAGATGATTACATAATTTAAATAACCTTCAAATAAACACCTTCATATTCAAGCATGCTATGGTGAATACACTGTTGTTTTCATCAACGTCACTGGCTCCTCCAGGACTACCGAGCATGACGGCACAAATAAGGGTGCATGCTCAGACTAAGGTTCAGGTTTGAGATTGTCTGTACCCAACTACTACGTGCCTATGTTAAAACAAAGAATATTGGGGTGTTGCCAACAAATATCAGTACATGGGATCTTTTGATTTAGTAATGAATTGAAATAATAAAATGGAAGATGAATGCAAGAATGTAAAACGATTGAGCTATCGCAATACAACAAATACCTGTTAACACGATATAGTATCAATCAATAAGTCAAATTTGCAGGTACCTGTAACTTAAATTTTTTTTTATTCTAAGTTTTCGTCATGTAAAGAATGTCACTACACTTGAAACTTTCAGGAAATGATTTAACAAGAATAAAAATCCATGTCAAGTTCCCCCAGTCCTTCTGTCATTTGAAAACTAGGAACGTTCTATTTCCTTGACAAAGTTTCTTTCTCATTCTATACAGCCATAGTGTAGATCAAGTAAATGCCTTCAGATGAAAATTAAAGGTACCGTGTCTAACAGTTAGGAAAAACCAGAATTACAAGAACTATACACATGGCTTTTAGATGAAACAACTTTCTATTACTCACAATTCTAGAAAGAAGACAGGTTAAGAAAGCGGCTTTCAACTGGTGCTGATTTGCACCAGGTCCACAGGGAACATTTGATCATGTTTGAAGGCACTTTGGTCGTCACTATGGGGGAAAGGAAAGTGGCACGGCTGGCCTCTAAGGCAGAGGCAGAGACTGTTCAATAACCTCCCACAACAATTATCGGGTCCAAACTGTCAGGCCACAGTTGAGAAATACCAAGTTAAGGCTTCTCTAACCACAAAGTCTTCCCTCTCATAGGCACAGACTAGAGATGATAAAAATAATCAAGGGAGTACCATTTTAAATATCAAGTTATAGGTAACAACATCAATTGCTAAAATCATTACACTACACTGCAGAAAGAAATCCCACTAAAATCTGCTTTCAACCTCTTTATTTCTTCAGATGTAAAATCTTCCCAGTCCTGTCCCTAACTCCCACCCATATGCTTACGATCTGCCTTTACTGGAAGTTGAAAAGCAAGCTTTAAGCTTTGCGCTACATTAATGCCAATGTATCTAAGAGCTGAAAAAAAGAAAAAAAAAAACTGCCAACATTTTTGCATGGGCAAAGTTAAAACACTGATTTTTATTAGCATCACACCAAATTTAGCTCAGCTGACACATATTAACAATCATACATATACAAAGGCTTAGCTTATTCTCCAACATTCCTTAAAATATCTGACCTCTTCTCATTCCCCAATCCCCAAAGGATGGCATTTGACTACTTTCAATATAAACAAAACTACTGATTGATCACTTGGGCACCTAGGAATTTAATTTGAGAAAATCACCAGAAAAGTAGAGCAGAGGTATGAATCATGGCATTACTTGTAATATGAAAAAGTTGAAAACAGCCCCAGTATCTGTGGGTAGTTGTTTTTAAATGAGGGCACGTCCAAACCAGTCAACTGGACACAATAACACAGAAATATGTCCCTGAAACAGTACTGATCGAAAGTGCCGACTGGAAATAATACATCAAATATACACATAACTTTTATAAATGACATTTACATGAGGAAAAGTATATATCCAAAATATTCTTAAGTCGTGGGAATAAAAAATTTCCACTCTCCTCTAGTTTTGTTTTAAGAATGAATATGCCTTTAAAAGAAATCATGAAGGAAAATAATTTCATTTTTTAAAGAGAAAATGCAAACAGCTACAATGAAAACACACAGGGAGACTACTCTGACTTTCAGACAAAATTAACAGCTCTATTTCCCATTAAACTTCTACCTTATCTCTAATTCTCCCTTAATTTATTCTACCCAATGGAAGAACTGATTTAAAATGACTGATTATTTTGTAAAGAATAGAACAGACATATCTCTTTCTCTTCTTTCACAGCCATTAAGTGGGGACCCTAGACTCTAATCCAGTGTTACCCAATTCTAGGATCAAGCTAGCAGGACTCTAGGGCCCTCAACCAACCCCTGTACCCTCCAACTGAACAAAGGTACTGTTCATCTCCGCTTGCCACTCCTCGCTGCACCCAGTGTGTGGAGGACATGCACGAGCTGAGTCCCATTTCTTTACCTCCATAGATAAGCTTTGTTTCTCATTTTTAATTGTCAAAAGTTGCTTAAAATATTAACTAAAATAGGTATTAGAAACCAAGTCCACTGTCTCAAAATACTATCCTCCGTTTCATAACTCTAGTACTTTAAAGTCATTTTCTATTCTAATCATTATGTACAATTACACCAATGGTTTATAATACCCCAGAGTATTTTACAAACATTCAAACCATTTTTCAAATGATATATTTTTTAAAACATCAACATCCTTTACAATATGTATAAATATCACCCCTCGCTTTTTGTTGAGATGGAGAAGATTCATATTTGATTTTGATTCGGGGCTAAAGGAGTCACTAAGAATATAACTTTTTTGGGTAAATCTATAAATTTAGAGTATAATTTTAAAACAACGTATTGGTCACACTATCCCAAGTGGACAAAATATGGCTTTAAAAGAACATTAAAGTATATCTATGGTTAGAGTTTTGAGTTTAAGCTACCTACTTAGGAAGAATATCAGTACGTATTTGAAAAAATTTTAAAGAAATCTAGCAGTTCTTTAACAGGGTGAAATTTGTTTCCAAATCTAGGGTGGTAAAGTAGTTTCTGACTGATAACACAAAACACCAATAGGTCCTCTGAAGATTGACCTTGTCATGGTTAAATTCTGTGATCACACTGAGACCCAGGGAGTTTACAAGCCACAATTCAGGGGAGGCTTGCTTACAAAAGAAGCCAACCCAGTTCTTTTTCCATTACCATTGTGATTAGCACCTCACAGCCACTGTAGGTAGTGATGTATACTTAAAACAATTCCACTTTAACTTTCATGAAAGAAAATGTTGGAGATTAAAGAAGCCAGTTGGCTGTATTCTTTTCAGAGTTTACACATGTAGATCACTAAACTTGTATAAAGTGACTGAATCTTAGACTGAATCAAACAGTACATACTGTTTGAAAGGGAAAAAATGGATACTTACTTCCACTGGCAAACCCACTGGTTGCTGTTGCTTGCATCACCTCTCTTCTGTAATCCCTATCTTTTGGGAAGCTATTGACTGCCATCTTGTTTGCTTCTTTTTGTCTCTGTTCTCTAAAAATACAAAAAAAAACCCCAAAAGAACCCAGGTAAGCCCATAAGCATCATATCAAATACAAGTCTCCACATAACACTGCTGGCCAAATGCTTGATGAAATGGTTTTGGACAGAGGACTGGAAGATGGTCATAACATAGTTAAACTGACACAGGGAAGCGGGGAGTAGTAAACAGTCACTGATATTTCCAACTGACAGCAAAATTATGTTAATTATTGATACCACTATGCCTCCAACCAAAACACAGCAATATTCATTCCACTTAAAGAAAACATCCCACTATCCCATAAAAACTCCTAGGTGCTCTCTATTCAGGAGTATAAGGAGGATGCGTATGTCCTTATTAGCTATATATTTTTTTTACTTGCAGGGGCCATGATGAAAGTTACCTATCATTCCTAGATTTTTTTTTAAAAAAGAAAAATTACGGAAAGCAAATGGTATACTAACCAATGCAATGTAATAGGGGAGTGAGGAAAGTATAAAACTAGAATGTTTAGTGCCATAAGATATTAACCTACAGAATCAGTAATAAGAAATATTGTTTGATTTAGTTTAAGAACAAATACCTTTCAAGCCACTCTTTTGGTTTTTCCCACTGTGAAACTTCTGTTCGACAATTGTAGTAGTATTTTTTCCCAGAAGAACTAATGTGTTCAGACCAGTCATCTGCAGAATCATAAGGCTTAAAAATACAGTTTTAAAATTAGAAAATGTTCACACTACTTTACCTTGATATGAAATACCCAGAACATCAATGGTTTTCACGGGGAAAGGATATAATATATATTTTAGAAAACCTTACTCTAGAGGAAATGCTTCAAATATAACAATGGAAAAACCCCTACCAAAGTTCAAAACTAAAAAGATTAATAAATATGAGCTCATTAAACACAGGAAGGGAAATGTAAAACTAATGATGCCCTAATTTTGGAAAACATTAGAAAAGCTATTCATTATCACAGTTTTAATGGCTGAAATCCAGTCACATGGAGGGGAGCATCCTCAGACTTAGCTCTTATGCTATACCATGAAATCACATTGGAGCTAACACTAAACTCTTTAAGGCTAAACAGTAACCACATGTAGCATCTACAAAGAACCACCTGGCTGCTCACTAAAAAAGGCACAAAAGCAAAAATCTGTAATCTATGAAGAATTTTTATGTACCATTACTTCTCTTATACTTAAGAGCAAGTGTCTCAAAATCCAAGCAAGGAAACAATTTCACATTTCCTTAAAATGTTAACTGCATAATATGAAAAACAGCATATAACATAGATGAATATATTTGCTGCTTAATTAAACTTAAGACAATATATTATTGTTCTTGCATTTTTTCTCATCCAAAATACGAAGCAATGCTATACATTTATCTCACCTTCAAAAAACCTATGAGATAACTGAGTAACTAAAACCTTGCTTCACAGACCATGGACCGGGCACCACTGCTCATTTGCCCTTAACTGAAAACTGGTCTTTCAAAAATCCTCTTACAGGTAACTTATAGGAACTATAGAATTATAATAAAATTAGAAAAACCTGAAATGCCATTTTCATAGTACTGGTCTAAGAAAAGGGCCTGCACTGGCCCCTAGGGATTTTGGCAAAAAATCCCACATATTCCTATAGTTTGACTCTGAATATTTTTTAAAGATGTTTTGAGATTAAAATGTTACACTGTTCTTCTGGGTTCGCCATAGTGTAGTGACATCATAGGTTGTCTCTGGGTAATGAACATCGTTAGCTCCTAACTATGGGTGAGCTGGAATGGATGCTATGTCTTAGGACACTGTGTCAGTGGTTCAAATCTACTAGCCATTTCACAGAAGAAAGAGGATGTTCTCATTTACAACCTCAGAAACTCAAAACAGTTTTACTCTGTCCTAAAGGGGCTCCGTGAATGATAACCAACTTTGATTTAAAAGTAAGTGCAAGTAACCGTGAAGAGCTTGTAGCGAAGTAGTTGGTTCAATTGTTCAGTGGTGACAAATTTAATTTTGGACATTAAGGGACAAGATTTGTGGTAAATAGCACCCGAAAGACTTGATGTATTTTTAAGCTTGAGGAAAAAACCTGTTGACCCTTCGCAATTTTAGCAATTAGAAAACAAGTTGAGAGAACTTAAAAGAGCTATCAAAATATCCCAAAAGTATTCAGTGGTAGAGAAACGACTGAAACTGTAGTTCCCTGATATGCCCACCATTTTCACGCAATCAACCCCAATTCTGGAAATGCTCAAACAATTTTAAGTACTTGGGAGATGTATTCCACACTCTGCCATTATGTTCTTGGGCTTATGTCTCATCTCATGCCTCTGAACCTCTGAAAAGCAGCAGTGAGTGAATTTTCAATCCCAAGCTTCCAGACCATTACAACCACCAAGCTGCAGCAGAGACCCAACCACAGAAAGCCAAATTCAGAAAGTTCTTCGCACTGGATACTCCAATGCAAACAAACTGAGCATATCTAGACCCTATCTAGAAGATTGGTTTCTCTAGCAAGGGATTATATGGAAATCCTGCTTTGGCATCACAGTGAGGATGAGTTTCAGGTTAGCTGTCAGAAGACACTGAAGAGTGTCTAGACCAATGCGTTCCAAAGTGACGGTTGAGTTCCTGGGGAAGACAGAGAGCTGTTTCTATACATGCTGTTGCTGTTAGGTGTCAGAGTCACTTACGACTCATAATGACCCTGTGCACAACAACACAGTGAAACACGGCCCCAGTCGTTTGCCATCCTCACCAGTGTTCTTATGTTTGAGCCCACTGTTGTAGCCACTGTGCCAATCCACCTAAAGAAAGTTGCTAAGTAGGGGAGAAGGGGGACGTGCGAGAGGTGGTGGTGGAGGGGGGACAGACACCCATAGCACACAAAGTCATTACCTTTTTAGATAATATATAGCTCTAGAAAATAAATTGTTTAACAAAAATAAAATCTAAAATTAAGAATTAAACAGTGGCTTTGATGTGGTCACCATCATGTTTCTAAAACAGCAGTTTTCCAGTTGTGCAGGACCCTCTGGGGTACTCTGATAATCTTTCAGGGGGCACAAATGATCTAAATTAGTTTCATAATAATACTAAGATGACTTTGCGGTTTTCATTCTCATTCTATCAAAAGAAACAGAGGAATCACTCCAGAAGCTATAGGATGTAATGTTACAACTAAGTGAATGCTGAAGCTGGCATGAAATGGTAGGGATCCTCTATTAAGCACAGCATTAAGAAGATGTGCAACAGGAGCAAACGAGGAAGAAAAGAGAGGGTGGAAGACATCCTGGCCCACCAAGCTCCAAGGAAGATATCCTTGCTCAGAGCAGCAGCCAATGCAGACAGGACCATAGGGCCAGACCCACCACGAGACACAATGTCCCTCACTGACCTATAGCACTACGAAGGCTAACACTGGAGACACAGTGCGGAAACTGTGCCCGATCTGACTCCACCACATCGGGGAGAAAGGCTAAGGGAGTGCAAGAGAACAGCAAGGGGAGCAAACCAATGAAGTCCCCAGGGAACACCAAAAAATAGATTTTGGGGGCCAGGGCATGGCAGTCCATCAGACTTGACCAGAAAACACTCCTATAGATCAACAAACAGACCTGGAACTATTTACAGGCTTTTCTTTGCCATCATTATTGTTTTACTGTCTTGTTTTTTTAACTTATTATTGTCTCTGAATGTCTATCTAGATAAGATAAGCGGGATTAAAAATCCAGAGGTGAAAACGGGACCAACGGGACACACACACGCGAGCGAGCAGACAAGACAGGGGAAAGGAAGTGGGGGTGTCAACCAAACCAGAGACAAGGGAACAAGTGATACAAAATCGATGGCAAGGAGGGTGTAGGAGGCCTGGTAGGGCTAGATCAAGGGCAATGTAAGCAAGAGGAATTACTGAAACCTGACTGAATGTCGAACATGATAGTGGGGCAAGAGGAAAGTAAAAGGAAATAGAGAAAAGAACTAGGAGGCAGAGAACATTTATAGAGGTCTAAATACCAGCATGTACATATGTAAATATATTTATATATAACGATAGGGAAATAGATCTATGGACATATATTTATATATTAAGGTAGTAGATGAGCATCTACTCAAGTACTCCTTCAATGCAAGACCATTTTGTTCTAATAACCTGGCATTATGTGATGCTCACCATCCCGACATGATTGCTGAAGACAAAGCGGGTACCATAAGCAAATGTGGTGAAGAAGCTGATGATGCCTGGCTATCAAAGTATAATAGAGCCTGGGTTCTTAAAGGCTTGAAGATATACAAGCGGTCATCTAGCTGAGAAGCAAAAAAATCCACATAAAAGCACATCAGCCTTTGTGATCATGAAGTGTCAATGGGATCAGGTATCAGTCATTAAAGAACCAAACAAACAATCCTATCGATATGAATTGGGGGAGGGGGGGTGCGAAGTGCAGACCTTAAGCTCATCTGTAGACTATTGGACATCCCCTTACAGAAGGGTCATAAGGAAGAGACGAACCAGTCAGGCTACTGTATAGCAATGATGAAACATACAACTTTCCTCTAGTTCTTTAATGCTTCCCCCCCCCACCGCACTACTGTCATGACACCAATTCTACCTTACAAATCTGGCTAGACCAGAGGATGTACACTGGTACAGATTGGAACTGGAAACACAGGGAATCCAGGACAGATGATCCCCTCAGGATCGACATTGACAATATTAAGAGGGGGAAGTGGGGGAAGAAAAGGGGAACCGATCATAATGATCTACCTTTAAGTCCCTCCCTCAGGGATAGACAACAGAAAAATGGGTGAAGGGAGACTATCGGTCAGTGTAAGACATGAGAAAATAATAATTTATAAATGATCCAGGGTTCATGAAGGAGAAAAGGTGTGTGGGGGGGGGGGGGGAAATGAGCTGATACCAAGGGCTCAAGTAGAAAAAAATGCTTTGAAAACAATGATGGCAACATGTGTACAAATGTGCTTGACACCTGGATGTATTAATGGATTGTGATAAGAGCTAAATAGCCCCCATGTTTGTTTTTTTTATTAAATTAAGTTACAAAAGGAAAAAAAATAAAGATGGTGTGCAGTCTCTGGGCTGAACTGATGTGACTACAATGTTGCTTCTCTTTTGCAAAATAAAAGTAGGTTCATTTGGGAAGGAAAAAATAAATGAGATGTGCAGCGTCTTAATATGTTTTGAAAAATGGTTTTCATAATCTTATTTTTTCATAAAAGTATTACATGACTATGGTTTTTAAACAAAACACATTTTTTCACCTGTAAACATGTTTTAATATAGTAAATTGATGACATAGTATATATAACCAAAAGTGCTCAAAATTCACAAATGCAAAGAGGGGTCTTGAAACCAAAATGTTTGAGAATGGCTGCTCTAAAATTGGATTAAATAGTTGCTGGGGGCACCCACCTCAATTCTCCTTAGAATCCAATTTCTGGTTTGTTAAGAGTTTTTCTCTTCTCAGAAACAAACATCCTTTTTCATTCTCTAAATTACCGGTAATTTTCTGATAGTTAATCTTGTTATTAACTTTTATAATTATTAAAGAATCACTCATTTACAAAAAAGTTCACAAAATACAGTATCAAAGATGATTGTTTCCTGAGGGAAGCTGAACAGGACGGTCCCACGAGTTAATACAGCTTGCCCTCAGTGCTGGTAAATTCAACCAGCCTCCAATAGAAAATAATGCAGGTGTAGAGGTAAGGATGAATTAAGCGGTCAATGTAACCCAGCAAAGGCTTAACAACAAAACAAAGCCCACCGCTGTTGACTTGATCCAGATTCAAAAACAGTGTAATTTACTCTCTGCTCATATTTTAGCTTGCATATACGGCTTCATTATTTCCCTTCCACTATGATGGTACACCAAAAAGCGGTATAAATGATTTTCTACATGATCAGGCATTTTTTCTCCAAAGATTCCAATAAGGTTTCTGTCACTAAACATTTTGTTGAGTTCTTTACGTTGTTTTACATTAAACTTCTAATCATTATTTAATAAACGAAGCACTTTAAACAAGACTGGGTAGAGAGAGTAAATCTCAAGAGACTGAGAGGACCTGGAAAGACCTGACTGTGGCAGGGCCAAACTCAGTGTGTCTCGGGCAAAGCCTAACCTAGAAGATAACGTTTCTCGAACACCCAAATTCTTTAGAAAGCACAAAGATGAGTGACTAAACTAAAACTGTCTAGCATGATTTTGGTTAGAAAGGAAGGGGCACGCAAGTCTTTTGAGCCCCTGTGAGTCAGTTAAAATGTGACAATAAATGCTAGTCACTGGACTCAATAAAGTACATGTTATTATCTAAATCTCATACCAAAAATAGTAATGTCAACAAACGTTTAGCACTAACTTGATGAAAAGATACCCACAAATCAAATGTCTGTATAGATAGCTGTAGATAATATTGGTACTGACTTTTTTTAACAGACAACTACTTAGAGATACCATAGGATCATCTTCTGTGGAGTTCAACTGTAGTGCATATAGTGTATAAATTTGTATGTTACTATAGAAGTACATATATACATACATACAGCGAAAACCTACAGAAAGAGGATGCTGCTGATTCTGGAGACACAACATCTAGTTTAGTTTTCAGTTTCCACTCATAATAAAGCTCCCTGACGTTACAGAATTTAAGAATTATGTTATCCAGCTTGTCCAATGCCCAGTATGTATTATTTCTAACTTCGTAAAAATATAAATAATGTGAATCTGTTTTCTCTCAATAAGATTTGTTGCTTTTTTAAGTCTGTATGAGCTGTCAATGTCCTACCTGCAGACAAATACTAAATTTGAACTGTAATAATCAGTGAAAAAACATCTTCACCAATGAATGCAACTCTCGAGTTAGTGTTACTTTGTAAATTACTGGGTCATTTATGGCAGTGGTAGTGTCTGTAAATCTTATACTATGTTTTGAATATATATTTTATTGAAAAATACTCATAGCAGTTTTCTTAAGCTTGTTGTCCCAGCTACCACTGTTCTGTGATGCTAAAATGCAAGGCTATGTACTATGTAACTTACATTCCTGCTTGTTTCTGCTAGCACAAAGCATTAGAACATTTAAAAGAAGTCTGTTTACCTGCCCTGGTGCTGTAGTGGTTACGAGTTGGGCTGTGATCTACAAGGTTCCCAGTTTGAAACTACCAGCAGGGAGAAAGACTTTATGGGGGCTATCTACCAGTAAAGAGTTAGTCTGGGAACCTCATAGGGGCCATTCTACCCTGTCTTACAGGGTTGCCATGCGTTGACATCAACTTGGTGTTTTAGTTCTGCTGTCCTATTAGCAATGTTCCCTTGGCCTAGTGATAGCCCAGACGGTTCCAATTCTAGCTCTCCCTTTCCCTTACCAGAACCAGCTGCTTCTCGGTCCTTCAAAATATGTCCCACCACCAGCTTTGTGGGGTGCCTTCTCTATGCATTTAACACTCCCTACCGTTCTCCCCTGCCCCAAGTAGTGATTATTGTGATGTTATACCTCATGTTCCTTGTTTTTCCCAACCTCTATATATCTGGCTTAATCATTCTCTTATATTAAATTCTCATGCTACGTAATTAGAAATGATTCCTGCTTTCCTGAACTATTAAAGATATAGTTTATTCAAATACTGCCATGAACACCCTAATTTCTATGGGAAAGTATTACCTACAGTGTTTCGATGCTGATTGGGATATAGCTATGTAGCAAAATTCTGCAGGCATTAGGTTAGACTTCTTCAAAGTAAGATTTCATTGCAATCAGATAAAATCCTTCAATAGCTTTCCAATACCACAACATACATTTCATATTTCATACTCAAGATATGAAGTCTTTAAGATATCTCCCACTGATTTTCTATTGCTCCTGGTATTCTTCCACATTAACAAAATTCCTGCATTCCGTCTAATACCCTATGCTGTATCACATTTCTTTCTCAGCGCTGTTCCCTGTATATTTCACACACAAATTCCAGACCTCTCAAAAATGTCTTCTTCACCCGAGGCCCCTCCTTGAGTGCTCCCCCCAAAAGCAACATGCACTGTTTTCAATGTTTAATTTTCTGACTCTACCACAGGTCCAAAACTCTAAGACGGGCCACATTTTCATAATTTCATGTATTCACAACCTGCCATATGCCAAGTGGAAACATTTTAATCTCTGCTGAATTTGACTTTCTGTGACTTTTAAAAACATTTGAAATTCTGCATTGCGTTTCATGCTTTCGATAATACAGATATTCATATACTTCATGCCTGCTGGCAGCGGCATGTGCTATGTGTTCAGTTGCTAGTTGCTAACCATAAGGTAAATAGTGGAACCCACCAGCAATTCCTCTCTTCTCCTGCAAAGATTTCTGAAACCCAGAGAGGCAGTTCTACTCTGCCTTACACCAAGTCTATGAGTCAGAATTCACTTGATGGCAGTGAGTTGATTTGTACTTATTTATTTTTGCTTTGGGTTGCTTAGTAGAGTAAGGCACCCAGTAGTGCACAATTAAAGTACTCAGCTGCCGATCAAAGGCTAGTGGTGTGAAACGATCAGCAACTCTGCAGGAGAAAAGATGTGGCGGTCTGCTTTAGTAACAATTTACAGCCAAGAATTCTCACGAGGGGCTTCTACTCTTGTCGTACATGTCACTATGAAGTAGAATTAACTCAACAACGGTAGCTTTGGGTCTGGTCCACCAGAGTCTACTAAAATTATGCCCTAAGGCATTCACTTTTATCTATTATGGAAACACAGTAGAGTTCAAGTTTAACTACTTAAAGTAAAACTAAAAGTAGTTTCACAGTTTTAAGTTCCTTATATCTCAGATATAGGAAAGCTAAAATTCTGCTCTTAAAGGGAATGCTGATAAAATAACCAAAATGGTATTTCTGACTATCCCCAGTTACAAGAAATTTAAAGTTTAACCCATTAGTCAGAAATAGGGACACACCTGTAGCAACGGAAAGAAACATCCACTTTAATTAAGACATTTCAAAACAATAAAAGAGATTATTAAACAAGACTTGCTATTGGGTTGGATTTTTTTTCCTTTTTTTTGCAACCGATTCTGAAAGATAAAACTGGTCATGTTTACAATACTTACTGCATCTGAAGTTTTGCTTGGGTTATTGCTTGGGTTATTGCTTGGATTAGAAGAATGTGAATTTGAACTATGAAGAGCACTGTGGTTGTGTGAATTTTCTTGTGGAGAATAACTGGTCCCTTAAAAAAGGCAAAGAAAAAGCATACTGAATTAACAATTTTGTTCAAATTTAATTTAAACTAGTTTCTGCCCTATTATATTCTGATCATCTGTGTATTAATACTTTTGTATAGCATTTAGAATTCATACATACTCGCATTTTCTATAATATACAAAGCATCTATGAGTCTGCTAAAGATGTGGTTTTAAAGTATGTATGTACTACTACCAGAACTGATATCCTACAAAACAATGTTCTTTAAAAGCATTGTTACTTAAGCAAAATTCGATCTGTACTAATTACTAGTAATCATTCATTTTTGGTGTCCTTTTAAAAAAGCTTTATTGAGGAAAAAAACCACTATGTACTCAGAAGGAAAATGGTATAAAATTCTATTACTAGAGAACACAAAATCACAACTAACCAATATTTATGCAATCGGCTTTGATGAGGTGGTCCATTCCTGTGATGATTCTTTAAGTCTTAGGAACCCAAGGGGCAGCTCTATACTGTCCTATAGGGTTGCTGAGTGAGAATCAACTCAATGGCAATGCGTTTGATTTTCTAGTTAGTGATCACTTATTAGGGAAACTAGGACCAGATTCAATAAGCTAGTGATGTGACAAAAGATATAGAAGAGTGTTACTTAACCTAGCCCAACGTAGGCAATATTAACAGATCTCATAGGAATATATTACAATACTTATGCTTGAAACACCTGGTGGTAAGCACATCTCCGTGTTTTTAATTTTACTTTGCTGTATGGTATGTTTTTATGTAAAATACTAAATCCCTTTTTAATACATGAGATAACAATGCTGTAAGGATACAATCATGAATAAACCAGTTAAGCACGTGCTGTGTGAGGAGGCAATGTCTATTCTGATCTGAGAATGCTATCCTTAGAAAAAGGCCTGCTACCCTGGTTAGTTTGTTAGAAGCTGGATTACAGGAGATCCCACTTATTAAGCTTAAACTATGACAAAAATATAGCTTATGCTGAATACCACTTTCCTTCTGAAAGTCTAGAATTTTAAGCGCTAGGTATAGGATATCTAATAGGTAAGTAAAAAAGTATTCTTAGTAGGGATCCAGTTCATACACACCCAGGTTTATTCATACAAAATGTGTTTTTAAATGTCTACTGTACACTTATATGGCTGCAAAGAAATTCTTTTAGTAATTACACTTCTCTCCGCCTCCTTAGGATGCCACCTCCCCATAAAAGGTCCAATCTAAAAAGTAGATTCTGAAAGGCCAGTTAAATTCAAGACAAAACATTAACTCAGAGGGTTATAGGCAACTGTTTCTTGGGATTCCAAAAAGGGTAATCGTGAATTTCTAAGGACACAGAACAATCAACAGGGGCTAATTAGGAAGACATTATTATTATAATTTTAAAGGAAAACCCTAGCTTTTCCAACAGAGAAAATAAAATGCCAGGGAAAGTTGCACCAAGCCTCCTCCTGTTCCACCGCCCCCCCATCCCCGCCCCCAACCTCCCCAATTATGCACCTGTTTCACTGTTCCCAGGGTAGCAAAGGTTGTCCCAGCAGGCTTGCATTAAAAAACTGACCCCATCCAACCCTACAGCCTCATCTAGACCTAGCAGTCTTCTTTTTGCTATACAAACATTTCAACACAGCATCATTTGATGGCCCAGAGAATCCCAAAAGGTGCTGTTTGACGTGGTGTAATTTTCAGACAGGAATAGGGCTGCTAACTGCAAGGCCAGCAGTTCAAAACCACCAGTTGCTTTTTATTCCCATAAAGAGTTACTGTTTTAGAAACCTACAGGGGCAATTCTATCCTGTCCTATAGGGTTGCTATGAGTCATAATGAACTCCATGGCAGTGGGCTTGGTTTAGAGTTACTTTAATTCTACTAATCACAATAGGCTGTATTGTCTAGTTTGTAAACTTTAAATAAACAGCTTGTGATCTCTGACAGCACTGTTTCCCCCAAAAGGGTGAAAGCAGCATTTCCAAAAAGGGGGAAGGGGAGGGAGGCCTACAAACGCACAGACCTACACGTTATGCTAGTTAATGGGCTATATACAGTACAAAGTTTGTAATTGCCCAGGGGGCACTGGCTAGTTTTCTAAAAAGTGTGTGGTAGGCCAAATAAGTTTAGGACCTTATGCTAAAAGGTAGAACACTGACTTGGCATCCTCTAAAATTTCAAAAGCTAAATCTATAACCTGAACTTGGAAAAACACAAGGCCCAACATGTACTCGGAAACAGGACAGTATGAATGTGTTTCAAAAAGTCCAGAGAAATGGAATGAAAAGACCAGGGAATTTTTTTCCCATTAACTTTTTGAAGATCCATCAAATGTAATAAAGTATATCTGGTTAAAAGCAAGAAAGGGGCATAAGCAACTAAACTGCTCTATCAATTTTGACATTAGAAGGTAAGGAAAAATTGTATCCAATTCTAGATTATCAAACAAGGCTGAGAAATAAAACTAGCTTTTTAAAAGGTCAAAGTTTTCACCTGAGCAAGAACATTAGTGTATCATGTCCTTATTCAAATCAGCTAACTACTCCAAGTCTGAATGCCTTCTGCAAACAACTGTAAGCAAAAGGAAGCTGCCAGAACTACCCCAACCTCAAACTACCAACACTCTCAAACAGCAACTTATTACAAAGTGTATTTTCCAAGGCTGGATTTTAGAGATTCCCAGAATATGTAATGGGACCTGAAGACCTACATTTTTTAACAAGCACTTCAAAAGATGGTTCCAGTATGGAATGCATCTAGGCAACTTTTTGTGAAAATTTAGTTTATAAGATTAAATTGCTGAGGACAGTTAACAAATCTCCCTTGGAAATATGGCAACCTGCTGTAATATACTGGTGATTATGCTTTTGAATATGGATAGTCAAACTTTCCAGTTTTCTAAGGATCTTGTTCCGTTACAGGCGCACTGGTGGCATCGTGGGCTGTAAGCCACAAGACACTCAAGTGAGGGTGAGGTGCTCTGATCCAGTTAAAAGTCATGGCCCCCAGAGAGGCAGCTCTAGTCTGTCCTATAAGGTGGCCGATTTAAGCCAGAAATGATTCACTCATTCACTCACTGTCATGGAGTAAATTCTGACTCAGAGGCCCTATCGGCCAGGGTAGAACTGTCCCTGTGGGTTTCCCAGACTATAGCTTTTTACAAGACTACAAAGCATCCTCTTTCTTCTGCAGAAGTGGCTGGTGCTTTTGAACTGCTGACCTTGCGGTTAGCAGCCCACGGCCCAACTTGTAACCACCACACAACCAGAACTGCCTTACAACTATCTATAAATATTGTTTTGTCTTTCACTGTCTTTGTCCCAACTCTCATTACCCGAACCAAATCATAGGCACTTCAGAACAACTAAACATAAGATGACAAACCACTAAAAAAAATGAGCCAAGGACGTGCATACTTTTCTCCAAAGAAGACCCCCAAGTTGCCACTAAACACAATAAAATATTCTCACCACTGTTAGTAGGTAAATGCAATTCAAAACAAAACTGAGATAAAACTTTTTATACTCACTCAGGTTAACCATTATAAAAATATTAGAAATATGTATGGGTTGTGATAAGCATTATATGAGCTCCCAGTAAAATGATTAAATAAAAAAATATTAGAAAGTGTCCAATTTCTCCAGGATGTGTAGAAATTTAAGCTCTCGGGCAAATTAAAAAAATATTAGAAAGTGTTCAATTTCTCCAGGATGTGTAGAAATTTAAGCTCTCGGGCAAGCTATATACCGTACATACTTGAGCATAAGCTGACCCGAATATCAGCCAAGGCACCTAATTTTACCACAAAAATTGCACTTAAGGTGTACTGAAAACTCGGCTTATACATGAGTATATATGTTAACTGGTATAGACAAGTTTGGTGGCTCCTCAAAAGTTGAACACAGAATTAACTACCATAAAACGGCAATTCCACCATGTGCTGATTGGGCTAATTACATATCACACCAACCTGAAGATACATAAAAGTGTAAAGGTGGACTTTAGCCAGTTAATCAGGTCACAGCCTTTTCATAAGGAGGGTCCTCTGTCTTTCACCTTCCGGCTTGCCGGCTGACACTGGCTACTGCCAGAGCCTTGGAGACGCGTCCACCACCACCGGATTCATACGACTTTGCACCCAACCTGTGATATTCCTGCATTCTGCATCATTGCATGTGGCTGTGTGAGTCCAAAAAGGGGCTTACTGATCTGAGTTGGACTGGGCTGGGATATTTTCTCGATATATAATAACTTCTTGATATAAAGTTCTTTCTTACACGAGTTATCTCTGGATTTGTTGCTCTAGTCCACCCAGTCAAACACACCAGGTATACAACAAAGACTTGGAAAAAGAAACTCACCAAGATACAGGTAATTTCCAGCTTACAACAAAGCCAAGTTACAAAAAAAACACTATAAGTGACCTCAAATCTGGGGGTTGGTGCGCTGCTTATTGTGAGTAATAGAATGTACTATAATACCGCAGGCATGTAATTTGCTAATGCCACCAAATCTGTAAACTTACATGTTCTGTTTCCCATCCCAAAAGGAATATAAATGATCTCCAAAAAAATAAATTGAAAAACAGATTATAGATTTCTAAAGATCACAAAAGGCAGTAATAATGAAATAAAAAACTCATCATTTATACCAGTGTTCACTGCAGTATTATTCAAAATAACCTAAGTGCTAACAGATTAATGGATTTAAAAGTAGTGTATATATACAATGGGGTATGACTCAGAAACAAAGGAATAAAAATCTAATGCATGCTATAATATCGATGAATCGAAAACACTACTCTAAAATGAAACAAGCCAGTCACAAAACGCTATATAATTACCCTTATTTAAAATACGCACCACCACCCCTCTTTTCCCCAAGCCCACAATTACTATTAGGTTGATTCTGTTGCTCCATGGAGTTCTTTCGATTTTTTCATAGATCGCCAGGCTTTTCAGCCAAGATGTCTCTGGATGGACTCAAACTGCCAGCCTTTTGGTCAGCAGTTCAAGT